TGCTGGGAGAAAGCCTTCCTCCACAAAAATGACAAGTTTGGGGAGGTGAACCCTTATCATCTACAGACAGTTAGGACCAGGTGAACAACTGCAGTGTCCCCATGAAAGTATTCCTGCATCTGCAGTAATCACCTGCAAACTTTGGGCCGTGACACAAAATTAAGCTCTCCCACTGAAGGCACCAAGTGCATCCAACTTCTGTGGACTTCACTAGAGAAAAGTGAGAAGTGACATATTCAGAAAATACTGTAAGCATTAATTTTCCACTTGACCTCTATTTTAGAGCCTCCGAGACCTGAGACACTACAAGCACTGAGTAATTTCTTAAATTTTGATGTGAAAAAGAAAGAAATTTGGCTTTAAATATGCAAGTTCCTGTAATGCACTCACATCACTGTATTACCGCAGCATTCAGGTGTGATCATTTTAAGGGCCTCATTCCTATCAGCAGGGTATTAAGTAGGGTTATTCACACCTGATCTTTTTATTATTTAACAATGGAATTACATTAGCACCATCAACAGGGACGTATCTACTTCATGCAGCCTGTTCTAACGAGCAATCCGGTCCAGCTGACTTTTACTTTTAAGGTTGGCCATTTGCTTTGGTCTCCAAGCATTACACAACTGAACCTGCATGAAGTTGGCACCGGTCTCTTCTGGAGATGAGCACTCAAGACATCAAGAATTTGGCACATGGATCTCATGTTGGATGGACACCCTCTCCCTGTACTTTCTGCAAGATCAGCTAATCGATACACACAAGTGACAATAGCAAACGAATGACAGGCCACACGTTGTTAGCTCCCAGGAGCAATGCTTTTTAGGGCCACTATTGATTTTTCATCAGACTAGGAGAAAGCCTTCATTCCCCAAGTGCTTCCCCTGAGGGGAGCTGGCTCTGGAGTCTTGCATTTGTTCCTAGGTGAGGATTTCTTTTGCAGAGCAAGGACATGCTACCCTACTCGGCATCTGCAGAAATGTAGCATGCCACGTTTCAAACACGAGCAACAAAGAGTGCATTTCTGAACTAATGATCTAATGTAGATCTGGGTTAAACTGTACAGATGAACACGAAAAGAATAATGAGAACTGCTCATGAATTAGTTCAAGCTATTTGCATCATATTGGTAACTCACCAAGTTCTTATCTACCTGTGCTCTGTTACACTTGTTTTCTTATGATAATATGCTCTTCTCTGGTTGTTTGTGTACGTTTTCATCGTGCTGCTATAGATAAGCTTTTGTTTACAAGTTTTGTTCATAAATTGATGTATTTTTCTCCAGATAATGTTAAATCACATGAAACAATACCCTATAAATACATTTAATTCCACGAGGAGTTTTTTTTATGTTTTCAAATTGAGGAATGCTTTCATAATCACAGATTTAGGACAGCATATTGCTTTTTCCTGGGAGGCAGAAGGATATTATTTTGAAAGATAACACATTTTAACCAGTTTGCTATTTGTAGTCAAACATCAATTTGCAGCTATCACAACCTCACCCATTTCAGCTACACTGCAGTTATTTTCTTCACCAGAAAAGTTGATGTGACTTTTTTTTAGTACAGCTGCAAAAGCATTTATAATGGATAAAGTAACCTGGATGGGAAATGTATGAATAAATAATATTTTCATGCAAAAAGCAATCTTAAGTGTTTGCAAGAAAAATCACTTAATTACATGTACCATTAAGATGGCTCTTTTGTACCAGCTATGTGGCAACTCATTAACAGAGCTCTTCACCAACAAGACAAATTAATGTTGCTTATGAAAGCTTCTGATTAAGAGAGAAATGGAAAGTTATTAATACTTTGTTGCCACTCGAGATATCTCATAAAAATGATTTAAGTAAAGCACATAAACATCCAGGCATTACAGTAATCTTCAGCCTCTCAGTTCTGCATGAATTTCGGATTACTTCGGTTTTTGTTGAACTTGTCACTTCTAGTATTAATTTGGAACACAGTCAACCTTCTCATATCACATCTATCAATCATCTTAGGGGAATAAAGCCACAAAGGACTTTGCAGTGGTTCCTTCCCTCTGCTGTGCTCACATCGCCTTTGAAGAGCTCTGCTTCTTCTGACTTGGACCAATATTTTCATCTGATTTCCTCAATTAGCACTTAGAAGAGAAAGAGTTTAATTGAAACATAATACAAGGATTTTTCCAAGTGCATGAATATCCTGTAGGTTTCTGTGTGATTACCACTGTGCCAGGAGCAGGGAGGATTTCCTTCAACTTAAAAAGGTACAATTAATCTCCTGTTGCACTTCCAATTAGTCAAATTGCTAACCTTATTGTGAAAAGCAGAAATGCAATTGAGTTTCTGCTCGAGGCACTCTAAAAGAAAACTGAAGTAATTTCATTAACTGACTTCAAGTGTATTAAGAAGCACGCTGCCCTCACTTCCCCGCTGTCGATGCCCTTAAAGAGTTGATTGCTTTATGTCCTTCTCTGCACCCACGAGGGGCTGCCCCATGCTGCAGCCTCAAAGCAAACACTGCAGCTCTGCTCCTGGTGCCTACAGGCAAGAATTAACCCCAAGCACAGGCATGCTCACGCTTCCAAAGAACCATCTCCACCTGAGCTCCCAGCAAGGGCACCCAGCCATGCAAGGGCCCACCTGGGCAGCCACAGACACATTGCCCAGAGGGGGAAATAAAAGGGTCACAGCCCCCCACATTGCCTCACCTCAAGTCACCAGAACGCAGATGGCAATGGTGTATATGGAACATGAAGAGCTTTACAGCTTAATTAAAGATGGAAAAGATGCTCAAGTGTTTATTAGATTAAAAAAAATGCTGACGCGCAGTAGCACCAGGTGTTCTATGACAAGGTGAGAGGGATCATAAACTGACACACAAAACATCAAAATCGAGCATAAATCCCGTTTTGCTTCCTTGTAAGAGCCTGAGTGCTCCATTTATATGGTTTCTCAGTGATATCAGTTCAAACAGATTAAAAACTATGTATTTTTTCCTGCTATTGCATGGGACTGTCCAAGGAGTGTGTAATCACGCAGGATCCAGTTTATGTTCAAAGACCTAAGTCTTCCTAACATTTAGCAACAAATGCTCAAGTGAATTACTCATAAGTAAACCAGAAGTCCACTTGGACCAGCACTAAATTACGAAGGAATTGGCATTTGAGCTTGAAAATTTACTGCTCCAATCCTAATTAAAACAGTTGGGTTACAAAGCCTCAGAGCCACATGCTGTCCTCCAGGGATGCCTCTATGCTCCACTTCCCAGGTTTGTCGTTCTGTGCTCCACTCACACACCAGCTTCAAATATTCTTTTAAAAATCAAAATAAATCAATGCGATCACAACCAAAATTTCATAAAGACAATACAAATGCCTGGAATTTTCATTAGTTTAGGCCAAAAGATTCTATTACTACTCTTGAGGCTCCAGAGGATGAGGAAATAGGATTTCAGAACAGCTGACTCTCACCTTTAACTCAGTTGGGCTCAGCAGCAAACATGAGCCTCAAAATAGGACCTCTCAGATCAACCCTGCAAACATTGCTGCCCATAGAAAGGCTCCTTTCTACATTCTGGTCACACAAAGCCGTTGAGTTTGCTTGCTGTGGATTAAACTAAGCATGCTGGCAGCAAGTGTAATCTTTACTCAGCTTAATCTGCACCGAGGAATAGATCTGTTCTGAAGAATGTTTGGACAGGACCATAAGCTGTCAGGTTGGCCACTTTCCCACTGCAGGAGGGAACGGTGGATTTTGCATATTGCATCTTGGTGGTGTTCCATGTATTTTTAGTGCAGTGACCCAACGGCCATTATCCCAACCACAGCACTGATGGATGGCTGGAAGAAATCCCGTCAGCTCTGCAAGCCTTGGGCTGGCTGTGCAATCCTAAGCATCTTCAGCACTGCTCCTTATAAACCTTGCCAACACTGCAGTGAGACGTTTACTGGTTTCACACTGCATGCCACGCTCCAAAAGGCAACAAGAAATGCATTTGGAAAAGTTAATTTTTGCTTTCATTAAAAGAAAAATTTTAGATAGCTGTAATTACTGAATTTGTGTGTACAGTAATCACTTACATACAGCGTGCACTAGGCTCCTACTAAGGCAGAGGCAACAAATAATGTGTTATGTTGCAGTAAAGAGTAAAACAAAGACTTCTCGCATTTCAGCAATCCCAGATACACAACAATTTAGGGAGCTATGGCTGTAACAACTCTGAACTGAGTGGTTATCAAATTAACAAGAGCTGAACAAAAATATAAATCAACTCTTTCTGTAGCGCAATTAAAATAAAAACTGATTTACCGTGCACTGTAATGCAAAGAGAAATTAAATACGGACCGTATTTTTTCTACATGACTTTCCAGTTTCTCCATAATTAAATGTTATTAAATAAATGAGGAAGTTTACGCCATTACTCAGGTATTGTTTTTACTATCAACTGTGACTCACACATCAAACCAGCGCTGCGAATTAAAAGAGATCCATCTCCCTTCCTGCCAAGGTATCACCACACCCCGCTGAATTACCCCATATTTTAAAGTGCTCGTCAGAAATCCTGAGCAGTGAGAGATGGGAGCAGGCTGAAAGGCGAAGGAAAGGGGAGAAACAGATTTATTTGATTTAGATAGAGGAGAGATTTCACTGCCAGCCGTAAATGTGTTGTTTCATGCTCTCAATGAACCTGAGGCTTTGTACTGGGAATGAGAAAGCTGAGAGGTTAATGGTGTGCAGAGCTCCTTCCCCTGCTTTCCAGGGCTGCTCTGGTTGCACTGAACTGAACAAGGAACAGGGGATGAAGCATCAATGCTAAGCAACTTGCAGTAACCTGAGCATCCCAAGAACCCACGCTCTCAGCTGTTACGATTAAGACATTCCTATAAAAGCAAAACATCACACCAGCTTTGTTTTTCCATGACAATAACGAGACAAAACTTGTTCCTTTCAAACTATCCACCATGAAATGAAGCCGCATTCAATACACGAGAAGGAGCAACTCAGGACTTACATTGATGTCTTCCAGGTCAAGGAAGTTGAGGATGATGCCGTTGCGCTTCCAGATGATGGGCGGCCGCAGCGCCCCACGGATGCCACACGTCAGGATGGTGCTGAGGCCCACTGTGATGGTGGTGATGCTGACCCGCTGCTCCTCGGGCAGTGTGAGCTGGACTACCTCTGCAAAGGAATAACACCAAATAGCACCACGGTTCCCTTTCTTCTCCATTCCAGGAATAACTTTGAAGGATTTTTGCAAGGCGTTGGGTGTAAAGAAAAAAGATCTCCAAGCAACAAAGCCAAGGTCCACTCAGCTTTCCCACTGAGAGCATCAAGGAATGCTCACAGCCCACTGGCATTGTAGTGCCTCAACTGAGACAGAAACTTGGCCTGGGGAATGAGCCCCTCCCACCTCCCAAAGCCCCTCTGTCCTCATCCCACTGCATTTGGTCCCAAACAGGGACCAAAGAGATGGATGCTGCCCTGCCACAGGCTGTGTGCTTTAAGAAAACTAAGTGCAGCATTGCTGACACTACAAAACACTGTGTGGGCTTGTGATATTCCCTTCCTTGCACCAGCTGGCAGAGCTACCCTATTCATCAGGCTCATTCTCATATATCTGCAGTGTGACCCACACAAGATCTGTGTACCACTCTCCGCACTGAGAAGATTTAAAAGCCTCATGCACTTTCTCCCGCTGGCTTTCAGTGACTGCAAACACCATCTTTGTCATTTCAAGTCACAGCTTAAAATGCGATATTGCCTTAAGAGTTAACAGCTTTTGTGGTAAAATCCTCTTCACCTGGCCTCCACTACAGAAGCGTACTCAATAAAACCCAACACCGACTTCTTCAAGGAACATTTCCTATCTCTTCATACTCCCTGCATGAAAAACTGCTATTAAAACTCTCAACTAACAATTCTGGAACATCTGTTCATTAAAATATTTGATTTCTTCCCCAACCTGGGCAGCCGACAGGACTGACTTTAGGGCTCCATCTGATGATTGTGAGCCCCTCGTGCAGAACCCACTTGTGAAGCCATGCTGAGCAGCTCTGCATCCCTCCTCCACCCAAGAGAGAAGTCAATGCAGTGTGCCACAAACCATATTCACTACTGGAGGCCCAAGGCTGATTTAGGGTTGCGAAGATCAATACATTGCATGCCATGTCTGCCAGCCATGAGCTGTTCTCCCACTTAATATTCTCAGCACTGCTTAGAAACACCGTGAGTTAAAATAAACAGCTGTCAATCTATCAATCAAAAATTAGGAAAGTCTGACCAACATCATGCTACTACTCGGGGTGCAGTCACTCCCATAGAGCGGACACAAGAAGAATCTGGCCATCAAACTTTAATGCCCCTGAAATCTTAAAGCCCAGATGGAGTGACAGAGGAGGAGCAAAAAGAGAAGAACATCACCCACCCACAGTCAGGTTAGCAGCAAAGCCAGGATTGAACACCTCATTACACACCACCTCATTAAGCCACATCTCATTAGGCATCACCCTTGGGTATGTGCTGGAGGAGGAGATCTCACACTGGGGTCAGTGTAGGATGCAGTGCCCCAGCCCTGTGCTTTCACCCACCTGCCCGAAGCATGTAAACCCCATAGAGGTGCTGGCAACAGTTACTTTCTGCATAAAAAAAGAGCTCCTTTTTTTATTAATAAAATATTTGGAGCACACTTGACAGGATAAAGAATCGATAGTTACAATAATTTGTAGCATGGAGTAGGGCTAATGAGGACCATCTCTTCTTGAGGAGGAATGAAATAAAGGGTCATTCGTTTATGAGAATTCTTTTTTCCTTCTTACAGCTGTTCTCCTCAACTCTATGTGCCATTTCTCACACTGCCCAGTTCCCGAGCTCCAGTGGTCCCTTAAGAAGGCATCTGGGAAGGCTGCCACACATCAAGGCACTGAATCAGGTCAGGATGGGACTTTTAGGCTACAGCATGTATGTAATATAGATAGATCACTTAAATAATCACATACCTCCCTCAAATACTTCTATGGAATATATTTGAAGGCATCCTACCATGACCACACTGACTTTCAAGGGTCTTTCTATTAATAGAGGATTATGTTGTGTGGTTTTAGTCACAGCTTTCTTGGCATTGCTAGAAAAAAAAAAAAAATGCACTTACACAACCAGGTGCCTTGGGATGGACAACAGAGATGCCCTGCAAGGAGATTAAGGTTGTGCTCCTTGGTTTGCAAACACAAATCTGCTTAGAAAAATCAGAATCTTGTACTTAAGTTGCAGACCTCAAACACTCTGATGCTGGTTGTACAAATTGTTCAAGTCACCATAATGATCTTGGGTGGAATCCTCTAGGTTAAGTATTGAGCTGCTCATTTTATTTTTTAAAATCTTTACAAGATAAAAGGATTTTTAGAACACGCATAAAAACCAAACAGAAATGAATGGGGAACATTCAAAGCATGCTCACGTGCAGAACGCAGACTGGAATGGAATCTGACCCTAAAATGGGGCAATTTCAAGTTTATTGGGAAATTCTGCATGTAAGCACAGTAGCTCTGCATACATTCCATGGATTCTGCCAGTATCACTCCTAGCTTATCCTATTTATCAAGCCAAGTCTAACCTTGTATTCTTCATTGATATTTCATCTGAAGCAAATTCTCAGCCTACTGCAGTGAGAGGAAAAAGTGGTTCTTGTAACCCATCTGCCACCAGTAGGATCCCCAACGCTTGTAACTCAACTTTGGGTACTTCAAGACAGCTCGGTAGCAATCAGCTTCACGAAGGAACAGATGCAACCATGTTCACCTACAGCATTTTGCCAAATTCCAAATTAAATCACAGTCACCAGGACTGGGCAGGAGGGCGGTTCAGGGAAATCCTGCTCCTCACAGCTCTTTTCTCTGCTGCTATCCCCATCCCAGAGGGGCTGTGATGCAGTGCAGACCACTGGACCAACCACGCCGCCGTGCCGCCATTGGAATTTCTCGCAAGACGTTTGAGATGGTGAAGGCTCACTAATTCCTTTTCTTGTTAAAAGTGTCAAGGCACTGCCAAACGTTTCCCTGCACCCCTCCTCCTCTCCAATTTTATTTCTTAAGGCTCTAAAGCAGGAGTTGTGCTGCACCTTTGCACGCTCTGCATACTAATGCACGCAGGTATTACTTGTTGTGCTGTTTTATCACGGAAATCTTTCCTCTGCTGTCATTTGCAGCCCGCCAAAGGCAATCATAATTTCACAATGAAGACATGTATAATTGAGGTCATTATAGGGAGCAACCTGGAATGAGCATCTATGGAGGAAAACTCATTGATTTAGCATGGCGTAGAGATAATTTACATAGTAAATGTCGTTTCCCTGCGTGCCTTTGCTCGTGCTACACTACGCAGAAAAAGATTTCATGTTTTTTTTAAAGTGCTTCATATCATTAATTAGATCTTTTCACTTAAACGTAAAGAAAATATATTTTTAATACACTGTTACCACCTTTAATCATTGTTACATTTGTTCATGGGTATCTCATCCTGCTAAAACAGAATACGGAGCAAAGGACTTTATTGCTTAAATTATGCTGAAGGGACAAGGAAATAATTTTTTAATCTTATAACTGGCTCTTGCACAGTACACAATGTACCAAAATGTAACACTGCTGGAAGCAAGGGATGGGAGAAATCACTGCTATAGAAAGCCTCACGCACAGATCCTCACCTCCCAATTAACTCACACAGACCTTTAGCTTGGGAAACGGAGCATGGGTAACACAGCCCCAAACACATCGTGCTTCCCCAGCAGTTGGTCAAGTTGGGACTGATTTAATGGGACGCAAACTTTTGTCCTCACTCAGTTCCCCAAATCCTGCAGCTGTTGTTCAGGCCCTGCACTGGGTTGGTACACCTCTATATTGCCTTGTGGCCAATACTGCAGCACAAAGGTCAAAGGTGATGTTAGCATTTGTTTCAACAGATAGAAGCCTTCTTTCTGGTTATAGTTGCAGGTGAGGACCTAACTGAATCAAGAAAGCCAAAGCAGTTAGTGGCTAAGAGGATAAAATAAGATATTCCTTTTTTAATTCCTTTTTCTCCAATATTTTTGATGAAAAGTGTTTGGCTTGGTATAGAGAAGATCAATTTTAGAACCTCTTAAACCTGGGAGAACTGCAGCTAATGGATTTTAAAATGACTGTAGGTAAGATACAACAACTGACCATGAGATCTGGCCAGCCAAAGAGTGACTGCCTGGGATGGGATGTGGCCACTGCAAATATTAAGGGCAGTTCAGAGCGGGTCTGAATGCATAAAACACTGCCTAACACACTTACAAATTACTCAGATTAGCATTAGAGTATTTTCCAAACACCCTGTGATTTAGTTTCTACCCTACTCCGTGGAGCAAATAAATGAATTAATAAAACCAATGCCACACAAATCACCCCAGGTCTGCGTGCTCATGCAAAGCTGTCACAGCGCTGCCTCCAGGACCAGCTCCAGAAGAAATGTTGCCATGTTAACACAGTTTGCTGGAGATTAAGGCTCGACAAGCCCAGCCTCTCCAGCAATATTTACATCCCCTCACCTGTCTGCTGGCGGTGATGGATTATCCATCACTCAACCCGAGATGAAAACTCCATTTTCCAAACACCAACCTTGAATTACGGGAAAGCCAAGAATGTTTGCATTATTAATTAACCGCATTAGAGCTGTTAATGAACTCGATGCAGGTTGTTCACGATTAATTAACCTGGAGAATTCCAACAGCTCCCACCTGGGATCAGAGCAGGGGAGGGGATCGGGCTTCTGGCCTCACAACCTGCAAAGAACATCAGCAGCCTTCCATGGGATGCTCAGAGAGTTTGGCTTCCCAGGAAAAGAGCGACCACAACGCAGCCTTCCTCCAAGGCTTAGAAGTTTAATTAATGTGAACAATAAGATGATTTCTAATGCTAAGTAGAAATGCTCATACCTCAGCTGTATTTTGTAGCTCTAATAATTCAAGTTCTTAATGTAATTTATAAATCCTCGGGACCTTGGGCATGCTACTTCAGGAAGTATCTTATTGTAAATTCTCCACTAAATTAGTAATGCTGTTTTCTAAGTCATAAAAAGGCATAATTATGCTTCTAGCAGTATGAGAGAATTCAGCACTTCAAGCCCTCTTCTGTCATTACTCACAAAGGCCATGGGTGAGGGCTCCT